GGTCCCTATGTCCTCCAGCAGTCTAAGCCTATAGCAGCAGAACTATAGAGATAGATCAGGATAACCTGAGCCACTCTAACTAGAAGCTTTATCAAAAAGGAAAGTTTTAAGCCTAGCCTTAAAGTAGCATTCTTTAAGGGCTTTATCTTATATAATACAACAGCAGCGTTTAGTTACATTACATTTCAGAAAGGACTCGGGGTTTTGAATGGAAGTTCAGCAAATGTCTCTTTGTTAAACTAAAAAGTAAAACATTGCTATTTTCAATCACTGATGTAGAGTTTGCTCCACAGACTGTTGTTAGCGTTTAAAGCTGAAGGAGCGTATCTATATCTCTGCAGGGGGCTCAGGAACGGATTGACAGCTTGCGTCGGACCGGAGTCGTCCACGAGAAGCAGCCTGTTGTTGCCTTGGAAAGCTTCATAGCTGAACTCTTTCCAGAGAAGTATGGAATCACCCAACAGCCCAAACGATAGTCGCAGCACAGAGGAGGACTAACCAAGTTCCATTTGCTTTTTTGTGTCCTTTTTTTAACCAATGTTGAATTTACCAACCGACCAACAGCATGTAGATGTTTCCCTTCAGGTCTGATGAAAGCTTGCTTCTCGTGTCCAAAACTTAAAACCAGTTTCTGCTACATAAGGTCTGGAAGCAGAGAACCAGAACCTAGTCTGGACAGAAACCAGTGCAGTGAGAGGCGGCCATAAGCCTCACCTGGCAGAATCATTCATGTCTTTAATGCTTTGATTCATGCCGGTTAAACATGTTGCTCTGCATTCAGAATATTCTCTCTCCTCTCCTCACCTCAGTCAGCTTCCTCCTCCTGCTGTTTGAGTTAAATTGAGCTGCAATCAGCTTTTAGGGATTAATCAATTGTGTCACACTTAGTAATTATTCATATTTAATTATCTTTGTCCTAATGTTCTAATGATAAGATATACTGCATCATCAGGCTAAATCAATTGCACTGCTAATTGAATTCTAGCAGCTGCTATTTAGTAGATCAGCTTTTTGTTTCTGTTGTCCTTTGAGTCGATCAGGAGGAATTAGTTTCATATTTAAAGAGCAACGCTGCATGATTTTAATTTATTTTAGAGCAGCTTCCCCGGCTTAATGTTTAAAAAGGAGCAACGCCTTAATCTTTGTGAAACTAAAACATTGATGAAAACATCAGTGGAACGAAAATGATCAAATTCCAGTCGGATCCAAACTATTTCTGAAATGTTCCTCCTTCTGATCGAATGGAAAAGGAAAACCTTTCATGAAGAGGGTCAAACATGAAACTATCCACCTCTAGACAATATACCCAACAAGTAGGCTGTTTTTAATAATATCACTGATGTTAAAACAAAAGCTGCACAGCAGACATGGTGGATTCCACTACAAATCCAGTATATCCACAAACTAACAGTTNTCAGTCAGGCTCAGTGAGCATTAGCATTCAGTTTAGAACTCTTAAGAACCATCAGCAGTTGAATCAGACAACTTCTTTCAGATAAAACACAAACAACACATGTAAGAATATCTACCAATTTCTCACCTAAGCAGCGTATTGATTGAGCGTCAGATGAACAGACGGGAAAACAGGTTTACTTGTTGGCTCAGTGGAATGGAGGGGGCGGGGTTTGATTCAGTCTGGGAGTTCAGCTTGGTTCAGTTCAGAAAGCAGTCTGTTCATCCAACAGGCAGCTCTCTGAGAAATTTGAGTAACTCTGATGCAAACAAAAGATGCCGATCTGCAGGGCTTGATTTGGTCACTTAGAGCACCTTGAAAAGGGCGTCCCCTTTGAACAGCGGTAGGCAGCTTGTAGCAGCGGCTCAGACGGCGACACCACAGTTCCAAACAGCAGCCGGACCAAAGGCTTCGGCCGTTTCACAGTGGCAGAACCAGTGTTGCACGGATCAGCGGCTTCTAGCGGCTCATTGGCAAACAGCCATTTTTCTTTAAGAAAAAACAATCTTAAACAGAGGGGGTGGACCCAGGTTCAGTTTTCAAAAACCTACAAGGCAGCAATTAATTTCATCCATTCCCTCTAACGACCCCCCTTTCAGAGACATAGACAGGTATGGGGCATTGCAGGCCAACTATTCCCTCTAACGACCCCCCTTTCAGAGACATAGACAGGTATGGGGCATTGCAGACTAACAAAAGAAGCCAAACGACCCCCATTCCAAAGGGGGGGATCCGGTCATCCATTTTTAATTTGCATGTTTTCAAAACAAAAACAAGACTTTGTTTTTGGTCCACTCTATAAAACATCGAACTTAACTTTATTTTTGACATTTGGAATAGAAAAAGCTTCCTGGATGGGAAGTGAAACGTCTTTAAACTTGGAAACAAAGTCCAGTGGATTGTTTTTAACTTTTACGGAATGACTATGACCTGGATACCTGAGAATCTTCACCAACAAACTGTAAAGTCCTCCCTTCTTGCAGGTGTATTATGGAAGAGGGTGTGCATCGCCTTCAAAACCTTTTCCAGTTGCCAGTTCGGTCCGTCCATGGAGACGGACAACAGCTTACGCCTTTCCAGTTTTTTTGGCACATTCCAAAGAATAAGCAATGATGAAGGATATAAATAAACATACATCACACTGGAATCTGCATGGAAAAAGATGCAGATTCAACTGATTGGTTTTGGTGGTAAGGTTTAGGCTTTCATCGGACATTAAATAAAAACATGTCTTTGTTAGCATCCGTAATGAGTTGCTCTGAAATGTATGCGGCTAATCCAAACTTGCTGATTTAGGCTGTCTGGTCGGACCACAATTAAGCGAGTGGACAATTTCAGAGTCTGGGAACATTGCATGAACATGTCTCAAACTCCCTCATTTGACTTGAATGATTGGTGCTTTGTTACCGTGTCCAAAATCCACAATACCTCTGCTTTCACTGTAGGCGTAACGCCGAACCTTACCCGGAGATTTGGTGCTTCTTCCGCTGTTTTGATAATGGAGATGGCCTTGGGGGAGTTGCAGAGACGAGGGTGGAAGTAACTGAATTTTGACGCTTTGTGTTTCCCGCTTCGCATGTGCGAACCCACTGCCTTGATTCTCATCGTGCCGAGGTTGAATGACTTCTTGCACAAAATACACAGTTCCTCATATACATTCCCTTGTACTGGTTTTAGCCATGCAGAAAACTCTTAGCTGGATAGCCAATTTTTATTGAATTTACACTTCCCCATGTTTTCCCGAAAAAAGTTAATGGCACATCTCCCAAAGGTCCCGGCCACAACAACCCCTTTATCGGTTTCGATATCGGGATGGACCCATTGATTGCAAGCCATTCGGTAAATAAAAAAATAGTAATAATTGTAAATTTAAAGTTTTATACAGATTACAAAAATAAATCCTATAAAAAATAATCCTATTTTTTGTTAAAAAATTAAGACCTATGTAAGACTGGTTTAAGACATTTTAATACCAATTAAGGCCTTAGTTTTATTTTGAGACACTAAGGTAATGCTAAAAATCATCTCACCACGTCACTGACAGAACAAGAATAATCTGGCTGATAACTGGATGCAAGCAGTTTAAGAAGAGGCAGTAGGAGGTGGATTAGATGGGCTGTGTTTAGAAATTGGGCAGTGTTAGGAATCCAGTTTGTGTTTTTGTTTGTCTTCCCTCCACCACCAGGTGGCGCCTGGTTCTCCTTGGTCCTCTCACACATTCAAGTTTGTGGTTTGGATCAACTTTTCCCCCCAAGGATTGTTTTGAGCTTCTCTCTGAGCAGGGGTTTCATCTCCACTATAAGCCGTTCAAGTACCGCAGGAAAACTAAATTGCAGTCAGCTTCTCCGTTCACCAAGGAACAACCGCAGTCTGGGTAAACCCTGTCCGCCCTCCAATGAACAAGACATTCACTGGTACAACCTACACCGACTGGATTCAATAGGGGACAAACTTTTTTTGGAAACGTGAGTCTGCAACCTAAGTCCTCTTCTTCAAGTCAAAGACACTAATTTCCCACTGAGCCTGAACTAACCGCAGTATCTTCTCCTTCACTTTCCAGTTCCGGTTTGATAGTGTTCAGATCAGCACTGGACTCATCTCATTCTCTCTCAGTAAAACCTGTTAAACATTTCCTTGGTCTCTCTGTTTGGTCTTCTGCATGTGGGTCAGATCTTTAGAGAAATCATGACAGGCAGAGTTAGACAGGTGGATGGAATACGTAAATAAGTGCCAAGATCATATCAGAATATTGTTAATAAACTCCAAATTACATTAAAATCTCATCTTCTGTCTGCATATTATGTACTTAAATATATTTCAATGTTTAGGGACTCCAATTGCAATTGATTGTTCGCGAAACAAATTTATGCTTTTTTAATGCTCTTTTAATGGTCTTAGAAATAATTTTAATACCATCAACAAGTACCCATGACTCTCATATATATAACTCGGCAAAATCCTTCATCATCTTTAGTGTCGACAGACTGCAGACGTGTTCCGAATTCCTAGTTTTCCAGCCACTTTTGTTGAAATTTTAATTTTCCAGGAGGGCTTGTGCCGGGGGGGTCGTGGGATGGGGGGCCGGATCCAAAGCAGGAAGTAGTTGGGTTTCAGGTTCACCTACTGGGTCATCCGGTAGTCCCAAGGACCGGGCACCGGCACTGCATTTTACATGTTAAGAGGTGCAGAAAAAGGAGGTTGATTCAAGAACAATTAAGACTGTTGGAATTTCCACAAAACCAAAAAGTAACAAAGGATTTAAGGATTAGTGGAAATGTTTTTAATTAATTATAAATATGATGACTCATTGTCGACATTATTAAATGAAGAGCTCAATAAAATTGTATATTTTTAAACATACCTTGTGTATCAACTCAATTCATGATCGAAGTAGAATTGCCCAGCCATCCTCGAAAGCCTCTCAGCGGTTTAAGTTTAAATGAGTACTAGTGGGCTGCTCAGTGGGGCAGTGGTCATGGGTTCGATTCCCGGCCCAGGGTCTTTCTTCATTTAGTTTGCATGTTCTCCCCGAGCATGGTTGGGTTCTCTCCGGGTACTCCAGCTTCCTCCCTCAGTCCAAAAAACATGACTGTTAGGTTAATTGGTTTCTCTAAATTCTCCTTAGTAGTGAATGTGTGCGTGAATGGTTGTTTGTTTGCCGTGTGATGGACCTGTCCAGGGTGTACCCCGCCTCTCGCCATAGACAGCTGGAGATAGGCGACCCCACTTGGGATTAAGCGTGTCAGAAAATGGATGGATGCATACATAGCTGGTTTATCAATACAACAGTGACTTAAAATGTTCAAATCTCTCTGTTGGATAGATTGCTCAGTCATAGTTAGCTAGCTTTAACATGGTTAGCATTGGGCTTTGAAGCTAGTTGGTTTAAATGAGTTTCTGGAAACGTTTCTCACTGTCAGACCAACAGTTATTATATATTAATCTCAATAGCGTTTGTCTAAGCATTTGGTAAAAAGCTGTTTCAGTTTATTTTCGGCTAACTAAAGGTAGGACGCAGCTGCTTCATTTGGGGATAACCAGTCGGCCTGCGGGCCTGTAAATGTTTAGGTTTTGAACCATTTACAGGCCGTAGTTTCATGTAGAGGTAGTGAATTGTGGCTTCTTACACATCTTGATTTTGTCTTCAGATTCACCATCGCATCTACTGGGAACGTTACGATTCGAGATTGCATCTAATGCTGGATCTGCATTCTTTTAAGATTGTCATTGAAGGATCTTCTTAGAAGTGCTAGGAGTGTCCCATACTCCATTTGAAGTGCTCCTAGAGGAAGAGTAAGCTCTTGTCATCAGCTGTAGCTTTAAAAATGACATTGCTGTCCTAGCTGTGGTTAAAAACAACAAAGTGGCGGTGATTACTAATGGAGAGTTTGTGACCAAAATTACTCTTTTTGAGAACTAACTATAAAAGTGTCCCAAGGGAAAAATTATTTAGTCCAGGGATATAATCTTAGGGGAGAGACACCGCCATATTACATCTTTACTACTAAAGAGACAGTTTTTTAGAAGCGCACCAGTAATGTACCCAGATGGGTTGATAGAGGATGCAAGAGCGCTCCTTCATCCTCCATCTTTGCCCAAAAGGCTGGATGACTATTGTGGACACAAGGGTCTGCTGAAGGGAAGGTTGTACGGTGCCAAACATCTGTTCTGATTGCAGAGAACCTTGAGATGGGAGCCTTTGACAGACTGACACACCTAAGGACAGCATTTGATGCTGAAGGACTTTCCCTACAGTCCACCGGGTTCAGCAAAGTTAAGATGGTGATAACCAGAGGAGGCTGAGCTTAGAGGTGACTGGCATGATGGAAACAGACACCAAACGAATACTGGAAATCCTTCTTTCAAGTGGGAGATCGTATGTAAATTCAGGAGGACATGTGGGCAACACTTTAAGTCAATATTTGCAGTGTTGACCCCTCTTATTCAGGACCTC